AGGATCTAACATGAAGTTACACTGTAGGATCTAACATGAAGTTACACCGTAGGATCTAACATGAAGTTACACCGTAGGATCTTTGTTCTTCATAAACCACCAGTTTCCAAGCCTTATAGATTTTTTTTCCTTCGGAATTACTTTTGAAATTTTCCTTTATCCATTCCAGGCAGGCTTTTAATCATCTCAATCGCTGCAATGTCTCCAAGCTTACTGTCTCTGCAAATTCAATTCACCTTACTCTTCCTCCAGGCTCCTCTTCTCCCTTTGTTCTGTCTGTTGTATGCCTCAGAAGAATTAATAGTTTCTTACTTTTGCAGTGCTTGAGATGGAGCCCAGGTCCTCCCTCCCATATGCTAGGCCCAGATTATTGTTAAGCCATATCCACTCCCCACTCCCCGCTGGTCTCCGTGACCATCTTTGCCTGTTGTCTGATAGCTTAAAGTAACTTCCTCACTAAAGATACAAGTCATCTGGATGCAGTCCTTCCGGAAACATTTATTACTCTTCTCTTTCCAACAGGAGTCCGTTCTAAAACTGTCTTTCCCCCAGGCAACTTGTTCAGTCCAACTCAGCACATGATGGAGTACTGCAGCAGGGAGCTCATCTGACTACCTAATCCAACCCCTTGTCTCCTAACGGACTCAATGAACTAGTTGTTTCTTTTTTTCAGATCGCAATGCACCTCATTAAAGCATTATATTTCTAAGCCCAACACGAAACTAGGTCTAAGTATTGGTCACAATTCATGTGCAATGAGGCATAGGCAAAGAATTTACTAGAAGTCTCTGAAAGATGTTCGTTTTCAGAGACACTGTTCCCTCTCCTTTCTGCCTGGAATACATAGCTGATAATTTGCTTATTTGGGAAGAGCCAAGTCAATCCAGACTTCCTGGTCTTGGACCCTCGAGTTGTTGAATCAGTATTAGCAAGCAGACTGGTTCACTGTAGGCCCTGCTGTGCATTTTTCACACATTTGTAAAGCCTGACTTAAGTTCAAGGTTACTTAAGTTTTGTCAGTTGTAGCTGGATGCTATCCTCACACAAGCAAATCCCTTATATTTGCTGTATCCTTTATAGTCCAGCTCAAGTTTCACCTCTCAAAGCACCAACCGAGGTCAGTCATCAAAATTCTACCATCTGTTAGAATATTCTTCAAGTTTTTATTCTGTACCAAAGGCTAGAGTATACACCCGGTACTCGATTGATCTCTCTTTAAAAGGGAGTCCCCTCACTGTTTCTGACGTGGGACTCATCTCAGTTGTCATTACTAGCCTGGACTTACAGGGGTTATCTTAGCTTTATTGGGGTGCGATAAACTACAACAAGGACTTCCACAATCCTTTTCCTTGAAAGTAACAACAGTCTTTCATTCTCTATCCATTTATCTACCAACTATGCAATCAGTTCTTAAGATCCTTTGGAATAGATACATAAATTTTATTTAATTTGTTTTCAACATGAAGACTTCCACCTCAGCAAAGAAAGTCTTTCTTACAGCTTTATTAACATGCTTTAACTCTCTTAAGAGACAAAGAAACTTTAACAGAGAATACAAAAAAACTAAGAATGATATTGCCAGTATTTCTTTTAAAATGTTTAATCACATCTGTGCATGTGCTTGTGTGCGTATGCATGTGTGTACACAAGAGTTCACACCACTGCACACATGTGGAGGCTAGAGAAACACAAGCAGGACTGGCTTCCTTCATGAGGGGTCTGAGAACTGAACTCAGTTTGTCAGACGTGGTAAAAAGTGCCTTCAACTACTGAGCCATCTCATTGGCCCATGACCAGTAATTTCTAAATGACAAATGTTAAGTTCATATCCTACTTTCTTTCTGTTTTTTAGACTTTTTTCACAGCTCAAGCTGACAAAGTATAATCATCATTTATAATAATTTAAGATCAAACACTGACCTGGAAATATATTTACTTTGCTCAAGTTGGAAAAGCAAATCCTTTTTTCCAAATATCACAAGCTAATGTACTATAGAAACCAGTACTCAATAAATGTTCAGTCCTTTACCACCATCTCCAAATTTCTACAGGCACCATTAAGTCAGAGAAAACCAGCCACAACTTATGCTTATTTCTAAGGCACATGAAACTTCTGAATTCAGAAATGATAGGACATACATTTTATTAAGTATTCTGAGAAAGCTGAAGGACAAAGTTCATTTACTTCCCAAACAATGCATATCTGGCAAGTGGTAAACCAGATTTGGAACCCCAGGGAAGAAATTTTTCTTTCAATACATCAAGAAGGGTAGAGGTCATGCATGGGTAGAGCTCTGTGTGTAGCTGGGCCAGTGGCAGTGGACATGTGACAAAGTTTTTGCATGATTTTTTTTTTCAGTGTAGCCCTTGGTGAGTTTATAAGCTGAGAGCAGTTGGGGAAAGGATGTAACGGAGATTTGAAAAGTGAAGGTCAGAAGGATTCTTGATTCAGAGGGAAGAAAGTGAATCCATTAGCAAGGACTGGCTCTATGAATGCTCCACTGAAATCAATGGTCATAAACTTAAAGTCAATCAATTTGATTTGGTTGGTTGATATTTGCTAGCTAGTTTCAAACACCTGTCAGGAGGCATTAAAAGAATAGTTGGGTTTAATAGGGTGGGCTTTGGAGCAAGTAGGGGGTATGAAGACAGAAAGGAAGCTGGGAACCAAGTGGTATGTGCAAGAATGGTGACAGACAGTAAGACATGAAGTGCAAACTTCTAGTTCTTTGGAAAGTCAGTTATACCAAATGTTGTTTTCCTGGGGCACACAGGTGAAAGGATGTATTGCTAAAGCAGACACAGGAAAAAATGTTTTCCTGAAGCAGACATTAGGTAAAAGGATGTTTTGATATAGCAAACATGTGGACAGACCTGTGATGAAGGATAAATATGACCCCACAGACCTTGCTATTCTTCTCTAAGGACACACATGTATTGGTTCACCTTACATAGCTCAACTTGAGATAATGCCGCCATTGAGAGAAACTCTCCCAAGAACTGCTCATGATGTTCCTGTGGCTGCTTCTACAGCCTCACCTCAGGCCGGCTGGTGTTCATGCCTGCTGTCTACTGGTTCATATGTAGTGTCTGCCTTCTGAGAGGACAGGTCTGCAGCTGCTGAGTCATATTTGGTATCTACTACAGAAATGAACTGCTGGCAAAGAAGATGGAACTCGCCCCCAAAGAACTATTGTTCAACAGGTCCACTTCCCCATATCTTAATAACTTTTGTCTTTCACTGCTTCTAATGGGTGGTGGGCTAGAGGAGAGGTTGAACCCTTATTAAAAGTAGGCTGCAAAAAATTTATGTCTATAAAGGAACCATGGGATCGAGGTTAGGTCAGGAAGAAGTATGTCCAGTAAGGGTGAGATGGACTTAGTAAAGATGATAGGGTCACGGATTGCAGGTCTGTGAAGGAGAAGACCAGCTGGAGTGTGAACTCTGAAGGAAGGGATTAAATAGTGGTCAGAGAGTGGGGTGTTTGGAGAGGAGGTTTTGAAGTAAGTGCTATTAGTGACTAGTGAGGACAAGCTCTGACTACAGTCATGCAGACATCAGAGGCTGAGGTGGCATGAAAGAGATAACTGCATCAAGAAGGCTGCTGCCCTTGATGAATTGGCTCTGCAGCCCAAAGCTGTGCAGAAAGATGAGAGGGGCAGCACAGCAAGGTGAGAGGAACACGCTCTACTGTCATACTTGAACCATGTGGGGGAGGGCAGGATAAAGGAAGGAGACATCATCTATTAGTTGTGGAGTGAACGAGGATACCATCCACCTCCCTGCAAGCTCAGAGGCTGATGAATAAAATCAAGCTCTAATCTGAGGAAAACCTCATAGCAAAAGGCTGAGGGTACTGTTGAGGAGAGGGACCGTGCAGCACCGGACTTAACACACAGCACGTTCTCTGTCAGGAGTTCTTAAATTTTCATCTTAAGTTCCCTAAATTTATAATATCTTAAAAGGAAAATTACTCAGGACTTATTTGCAAAAAGATCTGGAACAGATTAAAACGGAAATGATCTGCTAACAATTGTATTCCCCAAATCCAGGAAAGATTTATCTTTAAAAATCAGTTCCCTGGCCAACATAAACAGAGTCAAACAGCATCTTACTGTTTATGGCTTGATTTAAATGGACAGACCACTGCTATAAAACAATAGCAGACACTGTATTGCATAAGAGCCCAATCTTAAGAACAAAATCAAGTTGGTTCTGCCTGGGTGATAGTTAGAAAATAACTTCTCTGAAAATGAACTGAACAAAGTCAGTTCATCAGAGTTTAAGCAAGAAACCCAAGTAGCTATGGGAGAAGAACAAGAGATTTCACAAACGCAGTCTTCAGAGTACAACATAATACATTTGTAATACATTCTTCTTCATCAAACAGTAGTATGGCTATCTCATGAATATCTTAGAGGTTTGCAAGAAGACAACCTGGATAAGCAGGCTCTCTCCTTCCCACCACCTGCTGCTCTCAGTCCTCTGACAGACAACCCAGCAGTTGGATTTCCCATTTACACTTTCTTTATACCCACAGAGTGGTCTAGTTCGGTGGCACCATTGTGCCTTCACTTACAACTACCTCCTTTAACTCCAGCTCCAGAGGGTCGAATACCCTCTTCTGGCCTGAGTGGGTGGGTACCTGTATATATTTCCCCTAACACATATAAATTTTTAAAAATTAATAAAAATAAATCTTAAGAAATATAGTAAGTAGTTTAAAAATAAGAATACTGAAATTAAAATTAATATTTTATAAAACAGTGAGAAACATTTCATATATATATATACATATACATATATAAATAGATATATAGATATATAAAATTTGTCTTGAGTGGCTATCTCGAATGTCCTGTCATTAACCAAGCGAAGGACTTTTGTGTTGATGAATCAAAATTTCAACTTACCATTTATGTTTATTGCTGGTAATACAATTGACATTTTTGGTCTTGTGGTCTTGTTATGGGTGGTAGCTGGTAATAGCAGGTGATCCTAAAATTAAAAATGAACAGTGTTTCATATATCATGATGACTGTTTTACTTAGGAACACTCCAGATGTAAATTAAAAATGAACAGTGTTTTATACATCATGGTGACTGCTTTACTTAGGAACACTCCAGATGTATACTTTTTAGGGAGCCAACATTCACTAAGGTCATGAAAATGAATATTTTTATATAAACTTGGCTTAGAAGAAATGAACTACAAATTATCTTAATGCAATACACATTTTCCAGAGGTAGAGACTGACACTGCCAGACACACTGTGGCAGTTTTTTAATACTCCTAGATTTTGACAACAATATATGACTAGGGCACCATAAACAATATTGGTCAAGTTATCAAGACAACAGGTCTTATTAATAGTCATGCCGTTACATAGGTGTATGATATGGACAAGACTGCATCCTCTGTCCAGGTCTCAGTTCCCAGCCCTATAGAATGATGGGGGTGTAGATTATGTTACAAGACACCAAAGTGGCTTCCAACTGAACAGTCATTTTCAAACTGTAAAAGAGAGAATCTTTTTGTCCTCCAAAATGTTAAAAGGCTAAAGCAGGTCCACAGCTCTAGGGCTCCGCCTGCTTTGTGCCTTCTTTTAAGGTAAAATGCTACACTGTTAGATAGCATCTGTGACAAGAGCACACTAAAACGTGTGTGGGCTGGGGAAGTAGTTCAAATTGCTGTGCAAATATGGGGACCTAAGTTGGATACCAGAATACACATACGTAAAACCAAGTATGGAAGGTGTCCTGTGATCCCAGCACCAGGGAAATGAGATACAAGGTGTCCTGCACTCAACGGCTCACCAGCCTAGCCTAACTGGAGGGCTCCAGGCCAGTAAGAGACCTTGTCCCAGAAACAATACTTGAGATTAGCCTCTGACCTTTGCACACATGCACACACCCACAAAAAGCACACAGTTAAAGTAGAAAGTTTAATGAACTCTATTTTCTACATTTCTACAAAATGACACAGACAACTTTTGATTACCTATAAGTGATTGAAAGCTTCTGGGCTGCCAAGTCTCCAGCCACACAACTACTCAAAGTAAGAATGAGCCAAGGAGAGGTTGGCTGCAGAATAGTGGGGAGGTCAAGAGTTTAGGAAAATATAGATACATCTGTAGATTGTCTAAAGCTGGTCATAAAGGACTTATGACTTTGATATTAACTCGTATTGCCAAAAACTCTTCCTAATAAACAATATTTCTCCTTACAGGAGCACGTTAGGCTGAGCTAGACAGAACCCACGCTGAACCTACTTGGTGTTGCTTTTTCTTGTTGTTCCTATAGTCACTGCCATTCATTCAACAAACTTGCTCTATGGCTGACCGCCTCAAATGTCAGGTCCAATGTAGCTGATAAATGAAGTTATCAGCAATGCAAAGGAAAAACCTAGACCACAAACGACAAGCTGTAGACACTACCAGAACTGTGTGGAGATACTTCCAGTAACTGCTCTGCTTTATGGGATTCAGAGCCACAGTTCCATGAGAACACACTTTTCAAGCGTGGAGAGAAGAGTGAGGGTCTGAGAGAATCCAGCCCTGGAGAAAGAGGTTGTTTTCCTTTTCCTGTTTTGCTTTTTTAACTGCATTGTTAGACACAAAGATCACACATTTCTGAGAGCAAGATAATAAATTATATCCTAGAAGAAATACAATTTGCTCATCTTCCTGTTATGAAATTTATAAATAGCTTAGTTCCTATAATTAAAATATTGTTTCACAGACTCCAAATTGAATAACAAAGCAACCCTCAAACTGCAAGCCCCAAATTAAGGTTACTGTAAAAACAAACACACTTAGATCATATTGGTGAAGGGTTAGAGTCAGTCTCATATTTAATTATGAGTTTTCTTTGGAGATCTGGATGTTTCTAAACAGGACTTTTTCAAATGTAATGTCTCCTACATTTTGTAGCAGGAAGTAAAAAATTATGCTATTGTTTGTGAAAAAGAATTACAACACACTTACACACATAATTACAGTTAACTTGCTTCGTCTCTGATTAAAGACTGTGGGATAGTCATTCTTGGTTTAAGGGTTCACTAAGTAAGTGGTCCTAGAACTTGTTGTGCAGTGCAGCTGGTCTGAACCCTCCTGCCTCTATCTCCCGACAGCTGAGCTTATAGGTGTGAACCTGAACTTTTTGTTTTTCCCATTGCTAGGGATAGAATTTAGGGAGTCACACAAGATGGAGCTTATAACGTAAAATGCTTATTTTACTGATCAAAACTGAAGGGAGCTAGTATGTTACCAATTCTAACAGTATTTTATATAACAATATTACACATATAGTTAGGACACTATAGTTGCTTTGTTAAAGGGGTACTTTATCTCCTATGGGAAAAAAATGGTCCTTAAACCAACAATGCACTTTGAATTATTTTCCTAAGTTCATAGCACTCTGATTCAGATCATTAATCCTATTAGTTATAGAGTAGAAACCAGGAACTCCTATCAGTAAAAGTGTTTATAGACTTCTACCACTCATTGTAAGAAACATTTACTGAGCATGCTCACCTACCATATATTCAGCACTATGCTATGGAGATGTTTTTAAGACTAGAAATTCAGGTTTTTATTTTCTTGGGGGAAACAACGTGCACTGAGATAGATAGTGATTTGTTTCCAATATGTGCTCTTAATATAATCTGGGACTAGAAATAGAACCTGTTATATTTAACTGGGCAGAAAGGAGACTCATCTGCAGCCAGGTGAGGCAGAATAGCCTTGGTGAAAGCACTTCCTTGAGAGGACAATGATGGAAGGCTCACGTTCTCCTCCTGCCAGCACGAAAGCAGCCACGGCAGTACAGCTGGAGTAGCCACAGTAGGCTATGCAATGGAGGCTGCACCAGAAGATTACACAGCAATAAAACAGGAGATAGGGAGCCTGGTGACCGAGGAGCCAAAGTATAAAGATATTTAAAAGTTATGAGATGAGATAACATTTTGATTTTCCTAGGTCACTACTGCATTAGACTGTCAAAATCTAAAGCTAGGTATACTAGCTAGTTACAGAATCTGTTTGTGAATCAGTACTAAAGATATTTGGTCAACAGAAATTCAATAAAGGTTAGGACCATCAGGGATAACTTCATTGTCTTTGTTTTGAGACAGAGTATCTATCACTAAGTAGCCTTGGCTGGCCTAAAACTTGCTATGTAGACCAGAATGGTCTTGAACTCACAGATACTCATCTGTCTCCCAAGTGCTAAGATTAAAGGCATGCACCACTATGTCTCTGTTAATGTTTAACGCACAGAAAAGCCACATTTATTATTCAAACTTCTTGATAGGGACCCCCCTCATTTTATTTAAATCCATATTAATGAACTCATGGAGGAATTTCAGTCTTGGAAAAACCAAGGTATAATTAGATGGATTTTAACAAAGTTGTTTTATTCCTATTACATCAGTTAAAGTAATCAACTACAACAAAACCTGAGCTATTTAGAAATAAAAGGGAAATGCAAAAAGGATATTGCTCTAAAAATAATATACTTCAACACCGCCATTCAAAATCTCGTGGCTGATTTTAAGACATTTTTAAAGGGGCTTCTGAAAGTGCTATAGAGGGCTGATACAGAGTATCTCCAGGGATAAAACTATGTGGAAGAAATGACAGCCAGGGCTTTGTTACTCCACCTCCCATAGGTTACTTAGAGAAGCATCAAAGCTCCGCATAGTGAGGACAAAGCATCAGCTTTTCCCAGTATCAGTCATAATACATGATCCAAGACACCAGTTTTATATACAGTCCTCCAATTCCCTTTCCCATGCACCTTGCAAGAAACAGTCCAAGTGTGAAGACACACTACAGCATTAAATGACATTTCACCTTTTTAAAGAATCGAAAGCATCAGAGACAGACTGAGCAAAAGGCATGTTCCTTAGCTGGAGTTCAGACAATATTTCACAATAAAATTAAGACCCAACTAGAATTAACAAATGCTGGTTCTACATATCCACAGAGTATACACAGACTTACTAAACCACTTGTTAATTAGGTTTTCTAATTGCTGACTTGTGTGACTGTGTATTCACTACTATATAAAACTGATTAAGTAAAATGACACAGCTTGATAAAAGTAGGTAGATTAACTTTATTTTTCTTATTACAAAACTATAAACAACACAGAAAACAGTAAGCTTGCACCACATTGTTTAACAATCTGTAAGTTCTTATTATAACTGAAAGTAAGTATAAATGGTAACTAGAAATTATGGCATATGGATTGTGAATATGATTTATGAAAGAAAGAAAATATGGGATTCTGAACAGCAGACTTAGTCTTAAAAACAAAGTACTGATGTTTATATCAAAAGCTGGCAAGTAAAATATTTATTAATAATTGAAAAAAATATACAGTTTTTAAATCTCCACTTTAGCCAGTTCATGTCATACTAAATAAAACAGCTTCTCCTATCTGAGGAAACTCTGGCTCAGTGTGGCTGTCTGTCTTTGATAAGAAGGAATACGTAGAATAGCTACTCCCAATGAGTGAGGAGCCTCAGACTGCAAAGGCTTTGAGTACAACTCCAAGCAGCTCTCCTGCACTGGGATGGCCTGCTGTAAGTCAGAGGTTTGTGTATCAGCCCAACACTGCAACAGTGAACTCTTAACATTTCATATTTGGCCTATGTCCACTGAATTCTTGAGATGGCTTGTTTTTCAAATATAGAAACCAGATTGGAAAAAATAAAAAACAAAAAAAAATATATAAACAACCAATATCTATCCTTATTCAAAAGGCAGCTTTGAGTTTTCTCTAACTTCCATCTCCGGAAGCTTTAGTTTTCTACTGTCACTGTACATCTCTTCCTCTTCCCAGCTATCTTTCAAGCTGCCAAACCTCAAAAATAAAAGAGCCAGAGCAGCAGTCGGGAGTGGGCCTTTCAAAGTTATTACTTAAATCCACAACATTTGGAACTGATACTGTTTTCCTGTAGTTACACAAACTGTTGATTAGAAATCCAAAGT